TACTGTGGATTTTTTTTTTTTTTTTTTGCCATTCTTATTCCATCTTGTCCATGGAAAGTATTTTTTCATTCTTACACATTTTAATTTAAAAAAATAAGGCATCCCATCTGTAGCAGGATCAATCATTTACTACATTTTTAGCCTCCTGTTTTTCCAGAAAGAAGCAGTGCCATGCAATGAGAATCAAGATTGATGAACATGGGATTGATTTTATATTCCCTGAACTTTGTCCTCTTCATTATTCAGGTCTGCGTACTCAGATTAGTCTAAGGGCTTCCAGTCCTGTATTATTATCATTATTATTTAATACTTTCAAGGGACTAATTCACTGAGTTTCCAGGATGGTTGAGAGAGTTTCAGGTGATTTTGCATATAAGCACTCAGCACAGTGCCTGGCATATATAAGCAGTACATTAATATTAGTAATCATTTGATTCATAAGAGTGAGCCAACCTGGTGCCCGGTTCAATCTCAAAGTACTTTTATTTACCCCTTCCCCCCCCCCAAACCACTTAGAACCCCTGGCCATTAATGCCAATGTTTAATTAATTACGGATAGGAAACATTACAAGAGCCAACAGTTTTAGTGCAGCCCCCAGTGCCTAAGCACGCCAGCTTCTTTAATACTTTTATTATTTTAAAGTTTATTTATTTATTTATCCGGGGGGGGGAGGGGCAGAGAGTGAATCCCAAATAGGCTCAATGCTGTCAGCACAGAGCCAGATGTGGGTCTTGAACTCACAAACTGTGAGTTCAACCTATTGAGCCACTGAGGCTCCCCTCAGCTTCTTTAAAACTTTTATTTGTCTATTTATTTATTTATTTACTTATTTAATTTTTATTACTGTTTGCTTCTTTCTTTCTTTCTTTTAAACATTTTTTTAATCTTTATTTTTGAGAGAGAGACAAAGTGTGAGCAGGGGAGGGACAGAGAGAGAGGGAGACACAGAATCTGAAACAGGCTCCAGGCTCTGAGCTGTCAGCACGGAGCCCAATGTGGGGCTTGAACCCATGAACCCCGAGATCATGACCTGAGCTGAAGTCAGACACTTAACCGACTGAGCCACCCAGGTGCCCCCATAGACTATTTTTTTTTTTTTTTACAAATAGTTTATTGTCAAATTAGTTTCCACATAACCCCCATAGACTATTTTTAAGAGCAGTATAAGCCTATGGAAAAATTGTTAAATAAACAGAGCTCCCATTTACCTTCTCTTTCTCACCGCCCCCCCCACCCCCCGTTACACCTCTAATAAATAACTTCCATTTGTGTGGTACATGTGTTATATAATTGATGAATCAGTATTGATGCATTATTATTAACTCAAGTATGTAGTTTACATTAGGGTTTACTCCGTGTGCTGGACATTCCATGGACTTTGAGGAATGCACTGTGACGGGTTTCCACCATTACACCATCATAGAGGACACTCTTTCTGCCTTAAAAATCTCTGGGGTGCCTGGTGGTTCAGTTGGTTGAAGGTCTGACTCTTGGTTTCAGTTCAGGTTATCATCACGTGGTTTGTGAGTTCAAGCCCCGTGTTGGGCTCTGTGCTGACAGCATGAAGCCTACTTGGGATTCTCTCTTTCCCTCTCTCTCTGCCCCTTCCGTTTGTGATTTCTCTCTCAAAATAAAAAAGTAAACTTAAAAAAATTATTTTTTAAAAGGCAACAAAGTGTCCAATTTTGTATTCCCGCCAGGATATGAGGTTGAGCCTCTTTTCATAAGCTTATTTGCCATCTGCATATTTTCTTCAGGATTGTCTTCAGGTATTTCTTCTTCTTCTTCTCCTTTTCCTTCCTCTTCTTCTTCCTCTCTTTCTCCTCTTCCTTCTTCCTCTTCTCCTCCTCCTTCTGGTTTTATTGAAGTGTGATTGACATAAAACTGTGCCTAAGTTTAAGGTGTACGAACTATTTGATATACCTATTTATTGTGAAATGATTACCATAGTAAGGTTAGTTAACACATCCATAGTAAGGTTAGTTAGCATATCTATCACTCACAGTTCTCACCCCCCCCATATGGTGAGAATTTGTAAGATCTACTCCCTCAGCAACTTTTTTTTTTTTTTTACAAATAGTTTATTGTCAAATTAGTTTCCGCATAACACTCAGTGCTCATCCCCACAAGTGTCCTCCTCCATGCCCATCCCCCCACCCCCACACATCCATCAGTCCTCAGTTTTTGTCAGCATTCAAGAGTCTCTCATGGTTTGCCTCTCCCTTTCCCCCACCATTTCCAACCTTCTTCTCCCCCTTGTTCCTCCATCAAGTTCCTCCTAATCCTCCTATACGTGCAAACATATGATATTTGTCCTTCTCTGCCTGACTTATTTCGCTCAGCATAACACCCTCAAGGTCCATCCATGTTGCTACACATGGCCAGATTTCATTGTTTCTCATTGCCATGTAGTATTCCATGGTATAGATAAAGCACATCTTCTTGATCCATTCATCTGTTGATGGACACTTAGGCTCTTTCCATGTTTTAGCTATTGTGGAGAGTGCTGCTATGAACATTGGGGTACCTGTGCTCCTATGCATCAGCATTTCTGTATCCCTTGGGTAAATTCCTAGCAGTGCTATTGCTGGGTCATAGGGGAGTTCTATTGTTAGTTTCCCTCCCTCAGCAACTTTTAACTATACAATACAGTAGACCTTGAACAAGGCAGAGGTTGGGGCGCTGACACAAGCATACAGTTGAAAATCTGGATACACCTTTTTTTTTTTTTAAAGTTATTTAGTTTTAGAGAGAGAAATGAGTAGGGGAGAGGCAGAGAAGGAGGGAGAGAATCCTAAGCATTCCCCCTCACCTCACCCCCACTGCCCCCCCACCAGTCTACTCTCTGTTTCTGTGAGTTCTTTTTTTGTTTGTTTCATTTATTTATGATTCTGAATATAAATGAAATCACACAGAATTTGTCTTTCTCTGTCTGACTTATTTCACTTGAAATAATGTCTTTGAGCTTTATCCATGTGATTGCAAATGGGAGGATTTCCTTTTTTCATATGGCTGAATAATATTCCATTTTATTTTATTTTAATGTTTATTTATTTTGAAAGAGAGAGAGAGAGAGGCAGAAAGAGAAAGAGAGAGAATCCCAAGCAGGTTCCATGCTGTCAGTGCAGAGCCTGGCACAGGGCTCAATCTCACCACTGTGAGATCATGATCGGAGCCGAAATCAAGAGTCAGATGCTTAGCCGACTGAGCCACCCAGGCACCCCAATATTTTATCTAATATATCACATTTTCTTTATCTCTTCCTGGATCCCCACTTGTTGTAGATTCTAGATGAGGGGCCATGTCTGTCTCACTGCTGGGTCCCCGGTCCCAACACCATCATGGCCATAAACAGATGCTCTCAAGAAAGATTCTTTTATTTTCTTGCAAATACACTGTTTTGAAGTAATTTTAAAATTGCAGGAAAGTTGCAGAGGTAGTACAGGGAGCTCTTGTAAACCCCCTGCGTGGGTTCTTCTATTGTAATCACCTCAAGTTACTGTGGTGCATTTTTCACAACGAAGACAATGATGTTGATTTCCGTTAGATAAACTCCATACGTGATTGTGCCAATTTCTCCCTTAATGTCCGTTCTGTGTGCAGGATCCAACCCAGGATACCATGCTGCATTTAGCTGTCATGCTTCCCCAATGTCTTCCGGTCTGGGAGGAACAGTTTCTCTTTCTTGTTTTTCATGACCTTGACAACTTTGAAGGGTACTGGTCAGCTCTTTGTAGTATGAGCCTCCATCTGG